GACAGAAGAGGAAAGTCCAGAGGTCGGTCAAAGCCGAAATATGAGTTGAAGTGATTTTACTGTGGAAAGACAGGTCATAAGAAGCCAGACTGCTGTAGAATGATGAGAAGAACGGCTCTGTGAAGCCGGATCAGATTATTCCCAAGAAAAAGGAAGACAAGAGCACTACCTGCGGTGGCTGCCAACCCGGATGCCGAGATATTCCTCCTTGGTGAGGATAATTATTTGAATGTTGCATATGACGACTGCACCTGGATTGTTGACTCTGGTGCCTCCTTCCATGTTACTCCACACAAAGGTTTTTTCTCCTCTTACCGACGTGGTGATTTTGGAGTCGTGAAGATGGGAAATCAAGTGACCAGCAAGATTGTTGGTGTCGGTGATGTAACTCTGACCACGGATGTCGGATGCCGACTTGTGTTGAAAGATGTAAGGCATGTTCCTGACATGCGTTTGAACCTAATCTCGGTAGGCAAACTTGATGATGTCGGGTTAGTGAACTACTTTGGTAGTGTCAGATGGAAGCTGGCCAAGGGAAACTTGGTCGTGGCCCGAGGTAAGAAGGAAGGCTCCTTGTACGTGATGCAAGGAAAGATCAATGGCGGAGAAGCCAATTCTGTCCGAGATGAACCTAGCTTGGAGCTATGACACAAGCTCCTCGGCCACATGAGCGAGAAAGGGCTCCAGATCCTGAACAAAAAGGGATTACTGACCGGGTTGAAAGGCCAAGCGTTGGAGAGTTGCACGCACTGCCTAGCTGGAAAGCAGCACCGGGTTTCTTTTGTGAGACCGGATCAACCAAGACGACGCAGGTATATTCTTGACCTCGTCCATACTGATGTCTGCTCCATGTCAGAAAGATCCCTTGGAGAAGCTCAGTACTTTGTTTCATTTATTGATGACCATTCCCGCAAAGTGTGGGTATATTTGTTGAAGTCTAAAGACCAGGTACTCCAATCCTTTAAAGAATTCCATGCAATGGTTGAAAGGGAGACTGGCAAGAAATTGAAGGTGGTCCGATATGATAATGGTGGTGAGTATTGCGGCCCTTTTGATGCATATTGCAGAGAGGCCGGGATCCGACTTGAGAAGACGCCCCCCAAGACACCTCAGCTGAATGGACTGGCTGAGAGGATGAACAAAACTATTGAAGAGAAGGTCTGAAGCATGTTATCCAATGTCGGATTGCCGAAATCATTCTGGGGAGAAGCCGTCAAAACTGCTGTTGACTTGATCAACCTCTCACCATCACGGCCACTTGAAGGAAAAATTCCAGAAGAAGTCTGGACAGGTCGGAAAGCGACCTATAATCAATTGAAGGTGTTTGGATGCCGAGCTTTCGTGCATATCCCTAAAGATGAAAGGGATAAACTTGATGCGAAGACAAAAGAATGCATCTATCTTGGTTCGCCGAGATGTGAGTTCGTGTTCCGACTTTGGGATCCAATCAATAAGAAGATAGTGAGAAGCCGAGATGTGATCTTTCATGAGCATGAAAACATACATGACATCTCGAAGCCCAAAGTTCGAGTTACTGTCAGACGTGAAGAACCCGTTCCTCCTGTCCGAGCTGAAGCAGGGGGAGAAAATCAAGAGAATGAAGAAATTGATGATCAGCAACAAGCTGAAGATGACCAAGACACTGAGGTCCGAGTTGATGATGAGATCCGGGATGAGAATGATGAACCGGGTTCTCAAGCTGAAGAACAGCCGAGATATCCAACTCGAGAAAGAAGACCCTCTACAAGATACCCATCTAATGTATACACCGTTGTTGCTAAAGACGGTGAGCCTCAGAGTTATGATGAGGCTGTGATGAGCTCAGAGAAAGAAGAATGGAAAAAGGCAATGCAAGACGAGATGAAGTCTCTGCACGAGAATCAGACTTATGAGCTGACCGAGTTGCCTTAAGGAAGACGAGCTCTGAAAAATAAATGGGTCTACAAGATTAAGAATGAAGAGAACGGGAAAAAGCCAAGATACAAAGCCCGGATTGTAGTGAAAGGCTGCAATCAGAAGAAAGGAGTTGATTTTGAGGAGATTTTTTCTCCTGTGGTGAAAATGACCTCGGTCCGAACCGTGTTAGCCATGGCGGCTTCGATGGACCTCGAGGTAGAACAAATGAACGTGAAGACGGTATTTCTTCACGGTGACTTAGAAGAAGAAATATATATGGAGCAACCTGAAGGATTCCAAGCTCCAGATCAAGAAGACTTGGTATGTCGGTTGAAGAAGAGTCTCTATGGCTTGAAGCAATCACCTCGGCAGTGGTACAAGAAGTTTGAATCATTCATGACTGATCATAAGTTTGAGAAGACTGAAGCCGACCACTGCATATTTGTGAAGAGGTATGAGGCAAGAGATTTTCTGATTTTTTTGTTATATGTTGACGACATGCTTATTGTAGGGAAAGACAAATCGAGGATAGCCGCCCTGAAAAAGGCGTTGAGCTCGTCCTTCGCAATGAAGGACCTCGGCCCTGCAAAGCAAATTCTCGGAATCAAGATTATCCGAGATAGACAAAAGAAGCTATTGTGGCTGAGTCAAGAGAAATATATTGAGAAGATTCTGAAGAGATTCAGCATGGACAAAGCCAAAACAGTGAGCACCCCCCTAGCCGGACACATAAAGCTGAACCAGAAGCAATGTCTGAGATCTGATGAAGACAAAGATGAGATGATGAAGGTCCCTTACCAATCCGCCGTCGAAAGCTTGATGTATGCAATGGTTTGCACTAGACCCGACTTAGCGTATGCTGTTTGAATGGTAAGCCGGTATTTGTCAAACCCCGGCAAAGAGCACTGGGAAGCAGTGAAGTGGATCTTCAAGTACCTCCGAGGTACGACCGACTTAAGTCTCCGATTTGGAGAAGGAAAAGCCGAGTTGCAAGGCTATTCAGATTCTGATTTAAGGGGAAACGCTGACTCGAGGAAATCGACGACGAGATACATGATGAGATTTGCCGGAGGAGCTGTCTCTTGGCAATCAAGACTTCAGAAATGTGTTGCACTATCGACAAATGAGGCTGAGTACATTTCCGCTACTGAGGAAAGCAAAGAGATACTGTGGATGAAAAAGTTCCTCATGGAACTCGGCCATGATCAAGACAAGTACAAGCTGGGTTGTGACAATCAAAGCGCAATCCATCTTGCGAAGAATTCGACCTATCACTCCCGCACTAAGCATATTGATGTGAGGTATCACTGGATCCGGGATGTGGTGGAAGGTGGAGAGCTCGAACTCGTCAAGGTGCACACTAACCAAAATTGGTCCGACATGATGACAAAGCCGGTTCCAGCAAGAAAATTTGAAGACTGCTGTGAAGGAGCCGAGTTGATGCTGAAGCCGACGCATTGAAGTCGGAGGGGGAGATTTGTTGAGCTTCCTCCTTCAATACTAAGCCCAAGCCCATTGAGAGGTTTTCTAAAAACCCTAACCCTAGATCTCACTTCTTCTATATATTCATTAGTTGTGGGTGGAGGCTAGGTTAAGAGATTAGAAAGAAAATTCTAGAGATAATTATTTGATTGTTTGAGCAAAGCTTTATACTTTGCATTTGAGAGATCTCTAGAGAGAGTTTGAGTGAAACATCTATAGGGAGGTTTGATTATCACCATTGTTGGAGAGGTTGAGTTAACCACCATATTGGTGATTCTGATTATTTGTAACCATTATTTTCATAGTGGATTTTTGATCTGGACTAGGTCTCGTGGGTTTTTACTTCTTCATTGAAGAAGGTTTTCCACGTTAAATCTGGTTCTTCTCTCTCTCTCTCTCTCTCTCTCTCCTGTTTTGTGATTTTTCGTTTTGATTTTTCCACTGCGCTACCCGACCTGGTGAAGTTCAGGCCGAGGTATTGCCGAGATCCGAGATCAGGATCTTGTTGATTGACTTCCGCACAAAGGCCCCTGAGCCGAGCTTGAGGGAACCGACTTTTCCCAACAAAAACTCCTACATATTCATATAATAATGTTATCAGTATCTTACGATACACAATACGATATGATTTACAAGCTGCGATACGTATAATGGAGTATATCAGAAATGGATTTGTATCGAAGGATACAATACTATATTATATCTTATGATACGATACGTGTATCATATGATACAAAAATTAAATCAAAAATTATAATTTTTAATTAAAAAGGAAATAAAGATTTGATTTGTTATTTAAATAAAAAATCTAAAAAGATATTTTTAGAAGAGGGTGAAGTATTAGTTATGTCAGTGATAGATGCTCATCGTGATAATATTAGTCTTAATGATTGATAAGTAGGAAAATAACTGATTTGCGCTTTAATTATTTATATATTTTGTTTATTGAATCTTTTTTGGAATTTGGATCTATATAATATTAATTATATTATATATTTTTAAATTATTTTTTATTATTTTTCTGTATTTTACGATTCAATACGATTCACAAAACAAAAAATCAGTCAAACGATACACGCATTACGATTCAACATCCTCGATAATAATAATAACTTCCAGATGATAATAAATGATAAATAAACAAAAAAACGAAATTATAATTTTATTAATAAAATTAAATCTCTATCTATGAAATTTAAAGTATCTTATTTAAAAATTACTTAATTTTTAATTACTTTCCCTCAACGTCATTTCTTCTAAAAAAATAACATGTGTTATTTTTTTTTTAAATTCAAAATCAAAATTTATTTTAATAATACATGTTTTCTTAATTTAATGTACATTCCGTCATACCCTTCAAATATATACCTAATTAAAATTTAACTAGATTTTAAAAGACCTGAATAATTAACAAAATCAAAGTTAACTAGCATATCATTCTTTTTTTTTTAAATAAAAAATTGCACGCATTATTCTAATTTTCTAATTTTTTTTATAACCAATCAAGGTCAACAAAAATCAAGGTCAGCAGAAGAGTCATTGTTCGAGATTAAAGAGTGGCAGCTAGCCAATGTCTGAATCCAGAATCTTTGTTCCTAAGACGGCCCTTTGCGCGTAGGGTTCTGTCTGCCCAAGAAACTTCCTTATTGCTTAGTTAAAGTGTCTTCTTTTTGGTCCTTTTTTTACTTCCATTTATACATTCTTCCTATTCGATAAAGTAACGTTGGCACATTCAACGTTTCATGGTCAACAACACGTACAGGACTTGTTTTTGAGCTTCTTCCATTGGATCCTATCTGAAGAAAAGACCCTTTTCTTTTTGGTATCCTTTTAGGAGCTCTAGTTTGTATTTGTTTGCAGGGTTTTTTTGTTTCTAGGGAAGTTTGTGATTTTTTTTATGGTTCAACACCCTCCTTTTTTTGTTTGGAGCTGTTTTTTGATTGATTTTTCTGGTGGGTTTTTGACTGAACTTGATCTGATTCAATAAAGTTGGAAACTTTGGAGGGGGGAATTTTTTTTTGGGTTGTGTCTTTGTTCATTGTGTTTGATCCCGAAATTCTGATTTTCATCTGAAATCCTTGGTGGGTCTTGAAGAATTTACGTTTGCAAGGCACTGGTAGCGGTGTTCTGGAGAGGAATTGAATTGGGTTGGTGGTGGATGATGAATTTTTTTGGGGAGTGTTTCTGGGTGATGAAGAGATTGTAGACTTGGGGGTGTTGGGAGTTTAGTCCTTTGATGAAATGCGAAGCATATTAAGCACTTGGAATGGGAATTCAGAAATATATGGTTGCCAAAAAGGCTAGCTTTTGTGTTCTTTTGGTTCTTCTTCTTGTGGCAGTGGTCAGCTTTGTAGGAAAGAAGGAAACACAAGATGACTTTGTTAGCGAACTACTTGATCCATCTTCTGGATTGTTAGACAAGCACACGGTGAGGCTCCCTTCACTGGTTATTTGAATTTTGATAGCTTTCTTTTTTATATATGTATATTTAGATTTTGGTTGCTTTTAAGTTTAACATCAACACCAAGAACATCTTTATGCCAAACTAGGGTAGGTCGTAGGGAGGTGAGAATTTAAGTGACTTTCCAGGGAAAATAGTAGTTTGGTATTTCTTACCTTGATTGGGTTATTCTCTTATCTCCAAAGGTTGGTGTGAATGCTGTGTTTCTTACCTTGATTGCCTTAGCCTGTCATTTCCCTCATTTGACAATCCCAGTTATGCTGTAAGCTGTTAAACCCCAGTGACCCTTGGTGGGGGTGCCCTGTAGCTCTGTCGCTTCATCCTAAGATAATGGCCAATGCTAGTCTCTGGTTAATCTGACAATGGTTTCAACTTCACATAGAGGCAGCTAACATGGTTGCCCAAATCCATGATTCCCTTGTGAAGTGGGAAATAAAAATATGATGTTTTGAATTGTATATATATGAGCCTAGAACTAGTAGAAATTGTTGCAATATCTGTCAACTTTTTTCCGAGGACTATCAAGCTCAAAGCTGTCAATCAGTGATATATGTAAAGGCCATCTTATTTACAATAAATCCATGTATTTCCCACTTTTTTCTACCCATCCCGCACAGTTCTATTAGTTGGCAGTTGGCACTTTTAGTCAGAATTTAGGCAGCATGATCACTAAAAGAGGATGATCCTACTTCTCTGTTTATCTTCTACATAACACTTTTTATTTGGAAAAGTGGTTGAGGAGGGAGGACTAGAGTTGATGGTGCTAGTATGTACTTTTTTACTTTTTGTTTACGTGTGATGTGTTTACATGGGAAACAAACAAACATTACCAAGAAGATGGTATAATTTTTTTATACATTTATGCTTCTATTTGAGGGCGAACCTTGGAACAGCGGTAAGGTTGCTCCTCCTAATCAGAAGGTTCAAGTCTTACCCCTACTCTCACAAGTTAGGGAGCCTTGTGCACCGGAGTTTGCCCTTTTTATTTTTGCTTCTATTTCAACCAGATCACCCTCTGTAATTCTATCACCTTTCACATGATTACATGAGCATGCACTTTACTTTATAAAGTAAGTGTCTAAATTTTCTTATTTTCTTACGTGATAATTGTTAAGGTCACATGCCACTAAATTCAGGTCCTTGAGTGTTGTATAATCATTTATCATATTGGAGAACACGGAAAAATTGACATTATGGGCTCCATTGTTGCTAAGAATGGATTGATAGACTCTAAAAATTAAGTTTCATGAATGCAGGCAAAGGTACTATGGACCACACGCTGGAACAATTTAATTCATTTAAAAAAAAAGGTTGAAGATCATGATTTATGCCTCCCACAGGAATCGTCTAGTAGCACCAATAAAGTCAGTTCAGAGATTCAACCATTAACGCGATCAGACATCCAAAAATTGATTAATGCTTGTCATCCTCAGTTCAAGGAAGAGTTTCTTCACTGTTTGAGAAGAAATAATCTTCTATTACGTGTCTTGGGAGAAGAGGATGATTCCAAGATTTGGCATGTTGCTTATATGGGATTACTTTTTTCCAAATCCAGTGTTCCTAGAAGAAATTTGGGCCGTGTTTTGCTCCAGCACATATCAGAAGCACCTAGTTCAGGCCCTGCAGTTGGATCTCCTACACCCAGTCTTTCACCATCTCCTGGACCCAATCTAGCACCATCACCTGAACCCGATCTATCCCCGTCACCTGCTCCAGCGCCTCCAGTTCTTACACCTCTGCATCCTCCTTTGCCACCAACGGCATTTTTCCCAAAACTGACACCACCAGCAGCTGCAGATGTTTCTACTCCTCAATCTTCTGAGACTAACAAACAGACAGATAAACATAGTAATAAAAAAACAGTTGTTCTTGCTGTAGTTATAACTGCAGTGGTGACAGTTATAGCGGCAGCACTGCTCTTTTTATTCTGTAGAGGGTTTTGTAAGACTGGCCGAGTTAGACAAAATGATCAGAGACCCCTTCTCAGTTTGAGCATCAGTGACTATTCTGTTGGTACGTGTCATATTACCATTCATTTATACCTTGTTAATGTGTTGCACTAGTCCTGACAAAATTGACTTTTATCCTACAGGTCCTTCCAGTTATGCTTTTGGAAACTCAATGAAAGGGAAGAAACTTGGGTTTCAGTCATCGAGTAATAATTTAGTAGACAACAAGACCTCAGTGCAAGAAAGTCAATCAATAGGAGCTCTTAGTGCTGCTGCCGGATCACCATTTGAACTGAAATATCCTCCCGGGAGAGTGGGAACCATCCCTTCTGGAATGCCTCCTTTAAAACCTCCTCCAGGCAGGATGAATCCTCTTCCCGCTGAGCCACCTTCATTTAAGCCCTCTGGTAATAATGCTGCTGCTGCCGCTCGTCCTCCTCCTCTTGCAGCTCCTCTTCCTCCTCCTGCAGCTCCTCTTCCTCCTGCAGCTCCTCTTCCTCATGCTCCTCGACAGCCTGGTGTTGGTAGCACTCCACATCCTGGTCCTCCACCACCACCACCCCCAGCATCAACTGGTGCCAAACCTGGTCCTCCTCCTCCACCTCCCCCAGCACCAGCTGGCGCTAAACCCGGTCCTCGTCCACCACCGCCTCCTAAGAGTGGTATGGCTCCTCCTCGTCCTCCTCCTTCGATTGGCCCAAAGGTGCCTCAGCCATTAGGTAGTAAACCAAAAGCTACGGAAGATGTTGAAGCTGATGCTCCTAAAGCCAAACTAAAGCCTTTTTTCTGGGATAAGGTTCAAGCGAACTCAGATCAATCTATGGTTTGGAATCAGATCAAATCAGGATCATTCCAGTAAGGAATAAATCTCAAACTTCTTTTGTTGAAGAAGGATAATAGTTTATCATTAGCTGCTAATATTGTTAAATGACAAACATTTGACAGGTTTAATGAAGAGATGATAGAGACACTTTTTGGCTATAATGCTGTGGATAAAAACAATGGTAAACGACAGAAAGAGTCTTCCTCCCAAGACCCTTCACCTCAGTTTATCCAGATCATTGACAGAAAGAAATCACAGAATTTATTAATTCTTTTGCGAGCATTGAACGTGACAATGGAAGAAGTTTGTGATGCACTTTATGAAGGTGATATCTTGTTCCTTCAATTTTCCTAAAAGAACTATGATAACTATGATAGAAAAATGCAAATTATTTGGCAAACACTTTATTTCTTGGAGGGATTATTTATTACATACTTATTCACTCACCGATGCCCAAAAACATTGTAGACATGCAGTGTCATGTGGATCTTTAAAACTACCAGCATTTCCTTGTATTTGAAGAGGATAGATTGTGGTAGTCTTGTTGTTAGGTTTGAGCATTGATATAAAATTATTTGATTATCATGATGTTAAGTATTGGGGAGGATAGATTGTGTGGTCATCCTGCCTATGCTGTTGAGATGAATATTTCCTGCACAAGTGGATTGATTCAGTTGAACCTTTCTTGAGTGATGAATCATGACTAAATTTATTTATCGAGGATAATAATGTATAAAAACTCATAAGCAAAATTGTTTAGTTGTCTCTAATTCCACATGTATGAAAGCTTTGTAACCTGTCTTTGGTTGATCAGGAAATGAGCTGCCCTCAGAATTCCTTCAAACCTTGCTGAAGATGGCACCAACATCAGAGGAGGAACTTAAGCTTAGGCTTTTTAGTGATGAGCTATCTAGACTTGGGCCTGCCGACCGGTTCCTGAAAGCCATGGTTGACATTCCATTTGCTTTTAAGCGAATGGAAGCACTGCTTTTCATTAATACTCTTAAAGAAGAGCTCACTGCTACTATGGAGTCTTTTGCAGTTTTAGAGGTATGATCTAAATTGCATCAACCCTGCAGTTGCATTGTTTATGCCTTTTCTAATACATGATGAATTGAAGATACATTAAAAATTTGTAGTTTAGCGAATGCCAAATGAGATCATAGAATGACTTAGAATGTGCTTTATCATCCCAATATATAGTCTCACATTGGTTGTATGTGCAACTAATGTGGAGTTTATAAGGCCTTGGGCACTCTCACCCTTTGAGCTAGCTTTTGGGGTGGTGTATCACAAGGTTCTTTACATGGTATCAGAGCCTTGCCGTCCCCCACTTTCTCTTGTGGAATTTCTTAGCACAGGTAGGTTGGGCCTGTTGCATTGTCCACTCTTCAAGCCCAATGGGCTCTTGTGTGAGGGGGCGTATTGAGATATATAGTCCCACATTGGTTGTGTGTGCAACTAATGTAGAGTTTATAAGGCCTTGGGCACTCCCACCTTTTGAGCTAGCTTTTGGGGTGGTGTATCCCAAGGTTCTTTACAAGACATATAGTGTACTTCCAATTTTAGGATATCAATGGTAAGACGGTAAACTGTCAAAAGCTGGGTAGAGTAAGTCATTTGTTGCACTTTTTAATGCCTAATTGATGCTGTAATTTATGTGCAAACTTTTGCTTTACAGCAAAATTTCATTTGAATTTAGATGTTGGTTCTGTCTCTCCGCACACCCCACCCCAAAAAAAAATAAAAAAAATAAAAATAAAATAATAATAAAAGAAAAAGCTATAGTAGGGTTAGGATCCTTTCACATGTGTGTAAAACTTCCTTAGCTTGCCCCATCAAATATCTTCGTATAGAATGTGTTTTTAATAAGTCCTACCACTCAATCATTACTTACCATTTTGTTTTAATTTGCATGCAAATTTTTTTAGAAATTGGAGTCTAGTTTTTGTGCATCTTTAAGTAGTTCATAGTTTCATATATTCCTAATGCATATTGTATGGTTCAACCTTTATATTAAGAAATATACATGTAGTAAGAATCAATTTCTGATTAGTATGAGATTTTATGAGTTCGAACAATTCCTAATCCACTGGTTTTAAAAGTGCTTCCTTTGAAATGTTGTCGAACAATTTAAGATCAATTTAGTTTTATAGTGTCAAGTCAACTAATTAGAAACCATTATATACGCAGACATGAACGCAGCAGTGTTCTGTAATTGGCGTTCTCTCACTGTAATTCATTTGTTTGTGGAATCTCTGCCCTCACATCTGGTTCTTTTTTATCACTCCCTCATCTTGGAAATTTTTTTGATTCTTCTTTCAACTTCATGTGATATATATCAGGTTGCTTGTATGGAACTAAGAAACAGCAGGCTGTTCCTCAAGCTTCTTGAAGCTGTTCTCAAAACTGGCAACCGAATGAATGATGGAACATTCCGCGGTGGCGCACAAGCATTTAAACTTGATACACTTCTGAAATTATCTGATGTAAAAGGAACAGATGGCAAGACTACACTCTTACACTTTGTTGTTCAGGAGATTGTCCGCTCTGAGGGCATAAAAGCTGTTAGAGTGGCAAAAGAGAGCCAGAGTTTGTCTAGTGTTAAATCTGATGACCTTCTTGAAGATAACACTGAGGAGACAGAAGATCACTACCGGGAAATTGGTCTTCAGGTGGTTTCGCGCTTGAGCAGTGAACTTGAGAACGTAAAAAAAGCAGCAGTTCTAGATGCTGACAGCTTAACACGAACTACTGCCAAACTCGGCCATGGGCTTGTGAAAACCAGAAACTTGGTAAACAAAGACCTGAAGAATGTGGAGGAAGATAGAGGGTTCATTGAGGCAGTGAAAAGTTTTGTGCAGAACGCTGAGGTTGATGTTATGAAACTGCCGGAAGAAGAGAAGAAAATCATGGCTTTGGTGAAGAGCACTGGTGATTACTTTCATGGGAATGCTGGGAAGGATGAAGGCTTAAGATTGTTTGTAGTAGTAAGAGACTTCTTAATAATGTTGGATAAGGTATGCAAGGAGGTTAGAGATGCATACAAGAAGCAAGCTAAAACTCTAAAACAAGAGACTTCTCGAGGGTCATCTTCCTCTGAGACACGTCCACCACCTTCCGATTATCGTCAGCGGCTTTTTCCGGCAATCACGGAAAGGAGGGTGGATGACCATAGTTCAGATGATGAGAGTCCATAGATTCAAGTTGGAAGTGGTATTGAAACTGTTGTCCTTACTAACATGTCCTTTTATAGCCTAGCATAGTTAAAAGACTTGCTTTTCTTTGCTAATCTTGAAGGGTATTTATGTTATTGATCATTGATATTTGAGATTGAATTCTTGGTTTTTTTGGCTTACGTTTACAGAGGGATGGTGGAAGTGGCATGCAATTAACATTTCTCATGCTAAAATGTCTTATGTACAGGCTGGCTGGAGCTGTGATCATGTAATCCAATTACTTACCATCATTGTTTTTCTGTCCCATTAGGATTAGCTTCATAATTTGAGACAGCCACTTCAGGAGCGATAGTTATGTAGGGTCTTATTTTTATTTTTTGTTTTACAATTCTTTATTCAATTTAATTTTATTAATGCATTTATGTCTTGAAAGGGGCAGGATGTAGCATGATATTTTATTGTTTGAATTTATAATTATTTTTTTTGACATCTAGGAAAATATTTCATCTTTATTAGTCAGTCAAAAGAGTGGAATGATGTGTGCGTTTCTTGATAGCAGACGATGCCATTTGATTCAATTAAGTTTAGAGGAGCAAATGAGAGCTAAAATGTGGTAAATCTAGGAATTTAATGTTTTTTTATATAAAAGTACTAATTGGTAATTAATGTCTCGTTAATTTATTTAGAATTGTTGGGGTAAGAAGGGAAATTACTATGTCTGCCAGCGCTTGTTTACCTCGGCATTGAGCTACACCGGATTAAATCAATTTTGATATGAATTTTATGCATTAAACATAGGGAAATATCAAAAAAAAAAAAATTTACAGCAACACAGAGAAAAGTTAGGATATAGCGATGGAGCTTCGGGTTTTTTTTTTTTAAACAAGTGGGTCCCATTTTGTGTCTGTTGCAAAAAAAACTATCTGAAAAAAAATGGACCCTTAAACATAACAAGTAGCTTTACATTTTATTTTCCTCTTTTCTATTTTATGATTTAACATTATTAGTATCTTATGTGAAAAATTATTAACTAGTTTTTTTTATCTTAAATATTATTACATATAAACAAAGGGATTAATGTTTTTCATATTAAAAGAAATAATTTTATTTTTTACATGCTCATAGAAGTGTGAGTCACGTGGAATCATGTGAAGAGAAGAGAAAGAAAAAAAAAAGGGTCTTACATACTTTTATATGTATATAGAAGATACATTTTATTTCCTATAACACGAGAAATATTAATCTCATAAACAAACTACAAAAGTATATAGAAGTACACGAAAGGTACTATCTTGAAATTATATAACTATAGTCTCAAATTACAGCGTAGTGCAGGGTTTGTGTCACACTATAAGTATTTGTATAGCTAGTTTCTATCTCACTCTTGAACAAAAATTAATTCAAGGCTCGAAAGTGTTGGGACATCGATCCCTCAAATTAGCGCGAAAGCGATTCATAGGTCGGCATGTCGAGTTTGAAGCTCGGCCCATAGTCACCAGGTTGACCAACACGCACAAAAGCAAAAAATGCATAAGTGAGAGAGACAAAGAGAGACACACCGTCAAATTTTTAACGTGAAAAACCTTCTTCAATGCAAAGAAGTAAAAACCACGGGACACTAGTTTAGAAAATCTTTTACTATGAAAAAGAAAGATTACAAAAGAGTCAAGCTTCCCTAGTTGCACTAATGGTAAATCAAACATCACCAACAATGGTGAAATTCTCAAACTTCTCTAAAGAGGTCATATTCAAACTTTTCTCTAGAGGTATTCTCAAATTTTAAGCTCTAGGCTTTTAACTCATTTTTTCTTTAACCTCTTACAAAAGGTCTTCATGTGTATTTATAAGGTGAGGGTCTTCGTCCATAATCTTCTTCAATGATTTAGGTGAGTAGCATACTAGCATTCATTGAAGTGGTTGGACAGACATTAAGTCATGTATCCATTAACGAAGTGCATGCCAGAATTAAAGGAAGGAACCACCAGGAAGGACGTGGGAACACCTTATAAGAAATGTGAAAATACATTAAACCTAATCAAATTTCTCCAAGTCACCCGTATTTTGAATACATGAGATAAACGAAGTGTGTATCTATTTGTGATGCACATACTTTTTCTTCCTGTTTACTAACGTTTGCTCTTAATTATCATACAATTTATTGGTAAATTCTATGATATTTTAAGTTAAATTCATCGCTAATCCAAACTAGATGCCGTGATATTTAAAATTAAAAAAAAATAAAAGAAAAGAAAATCTGGTAAAAAAATGAAACTAAGAAATTATGGGAACAGTGACCTAAATGCCATATTTTTTATAAAAAATTATCAAAATGTCACGTGAACAGTATTTTTTATCAGGCTGTCACGCGTCCAAGTTCGCTACCAGTCATAACGAAATTGGTTATGCTACGTAACACGTTCTCATTAATGTATAAAGTTCGCTACCAGTGGTAGCAAATTTTGTCCAATCAACTTTTTTCTTGCAAAGTATGCATGTTTCATGAAATCATAGGCGACTAAGTTCGCTATCATTGATAGCGAATTTGATACGTTAATAGAAATGTGTCATGTGACCTAACCGAATTTGCTATGACCGGTAACGAACATGGACGCGAGACAGTATGGTAAAAAATATTATTCACGTACATTTGAATTTTTTTTGAGAAAATATTACATTTAGGTCACTATTATGAAATTACGAGGCCGGTCATATATGGATCACTGATCACCTGATTATTGTTAAGCTCAAATATACCTTGGATCCTTACAATTATAGTGGCTAGTAGCATAAGTAGGTTTTGTGGCTAATTAGTGGTTTTACATTCAAGGAAAAAATATTTGTCATTTTAAATGACACAACTTGTGTCATTTTACTCTCACAAAGAGGTGAGACTGACACTTTTATTTTTTTTCTACTCTCTCTCCCTTTATCTATCTCTTTCTCTTATTTAAAATGATATAACTTTACATCATTTAAAATGACACATATTTTTCCCCACATTCAATAGGTTAAGCCGAAAATCCTTCTAATAGCAAGTGGATTGGGCTTGGGATCCAATTCCACAACATAGCTCTAATGTTTTTTTTTTTTTGAATAATAACTCTAACGATATCTTACAAAATTACTATTTACTATTTTATAAGGAGTATGTTATATTTATAAATTTTTTATTTACAAATTCTTACAAACTATATTATATACTACAATATGTATTATCCGTAGTACACAGTATAATTTGTAAACACTAAACTTGTAAATATAACTATGCTCATTTTATAATAGATTTTTATCTTATTTAAGCTGTTTGTAGTAAGTGCTTGTTTGAGAGGTTTTTTTATTTTTTTATTTTCTCTTCTCTTTATAAGCAGAGGTTAAGCCAAATATATTTTTACAAAATTTCATATTATAAAAAGAGTTTTTTTTTAAATAAAGAAAAAAATCAAAAGCCAAAAATTTCTAGAAAAAGCTTTTTTTAAGTTATATGTAAACAGATTTTTTTTGAATGAACAACTTTTAAGTAAGTTTTAAGCTAAATTTTTTATATAATTATCAAATAAATTTTAGTTTTATTTTTAATTTTAGCTTAAAAATAAATTTTAACTAAAAAAAAGAGATGTACGAAATACCAACGTGCTGAGATGAGTGGCATATAATAAAAAATAGATGTACATATTTGAAGTAATATAATAAAAGGATAATTGTATTCTTATGTGACAACAAACTTTTTTTTGTCTTCTCCACACTTAACTTGAAGTGGGGCCCAATAGGAAAGAGAAGAAAAAAAAAAGAATGACACAGATATCAATGTATGAACAGAAGATAAGAAATTTTTTCTGTTACATAAAACTAATATTGTCCATAATAAAAAAAGTGGTTTATATATAAAAAGAGTTCATTGCAAATGGTTCTAAACATTTCTCACCTATGTCAAGAACAAGATAACAAAGACCACCCTTAGGAGCAAATATTGCACGCTCTCGGCCCAATGCACCCTGAGAGAGAGGAGAGAGGAGAGAGAAAGAAGAGAGAGAAAGGAACCACTGAATTTATTTTCCACCCTTAGATTGTTTTAATTTTCCATAAATATTTCCTAGCTACATCACAACAAAATCAAGAGGGTCTTAACAATTGCTCTGGCCACCCTTCTACGACCACGAGTTCAATGAAGTTCAACCAAATGTTAGAACTCAGTTCATACCCAGGAGAATATCATGTGATTATCTTTAGACCACACCAAAACATCTGATCTATTAATCAGGATCAGAACAATATATATTCAAAATTATATGTAATTTTTTTATTTTAATAATCAAGGTCTTCTGCACAAATTCATGGGATATTTAGTGATACATAATTATAGACAAAATGTTGTGTTTAGGGTAATATATATGGAGGGTTTTTTATTTTATTTTTTTAATTTTTGTTGGGTCTAGGTTAACTCAACGGGTCCATCACCATTTGTCTATCACAGGCACGTTAACTTTATTTTATGACAATACTCTCGGGTCTCGGCTGATATTTGTTTAACCGCTTCTAACAATTATGAACAGTCGTAGCAGTAATGGGCTCTTTAGATGCCCAAATGGGTAGCTGTTGAGCCCATAAGTCTCTCCCTCCACCATTGGACAGATCCCAAAAATAAAAAATTGTTTTCTTTTAACCTTTCTTTCTTTATAGTCTTTTTCAAGAGGAGCAATGCTCATGGACCACAAAACAATAAAAAATAGTAATTGTAATCTTACTTTCATAATATTTAGAGCCATTAATTTTTTTCTAGAATATATATATATATATATATAGAGGTACGATCCTTTGACACTAGTGTCAAATTTAAAGTTTGACACCTCATGTGAAAGTCATTAGATAAAAAAAGATTAATGATGTTATATGCTTACAAATCAGATCCGTTGATCTTTTTTGATCTAATGACTCTCACACGAGGTGTGAAATTCTAAATTTGACATTGATGTCAGAACTGGCATTAAATTATAACTTTGTTAACTGAATTTTTTTGTATAATTTAAAATATTTTCAAAAATCTGAATTGACTGAATTATAAGACTAAACTTGAATTCCAGTTTTACTGTCAACCAAAAGATATTCTAATTTATATGATTTTTCAGATCAATTAGGCTATATATTCTAGTTTGTATTTTGTTTTTATCAAAATAGACACAAAAATCTTAACAAAAAAAGAATTAAAATAGAATAAGATCATTGCGATATTTATATTGAATCTGAATCACTGAATGTCACAACTTGCATCACATATCCACATTTAAGAAGCCCATGTTCCTTAACATTAATGATGACCTTGAAGGGTATGGATAATACACGACCAGCGTACATGGGGACAAATTTTCAGACGTTGTTCCAACATGAACCCTCTGAAACGTCCATCTCTCCCTCATAAATTGAGAGGGCCTTAAATTGAAGAGGG